ATAAAAAAAAAAATCTGATGGTGAAAATAATTCGAATGATGTGAAAAAAAAAAAAGCTTTGAATTTTATTTAACTTTGCTTGTTTCCTTTCATTCTTTGAACAGCAAATTGGCAGGAAACTTCCTAATGAACACATGTCGAAAATTTATGTTTTGTTTACATTCATGCTGAATAAAAATTCCTATAATTAATCAAATACACATAAATCGAGTTTGAAACAGACATTCACAATCTAAATATATGTTTGAACATATCCATGAACGAAACATTTTACTTGAGAGTAATTTTATGCTCCAAAAATTTATTTTTATATTTTGTGTACTTGTTTTATTTGTGTTTCGTTCTTAATTTGTCGCCTCATATTAAGTTTTATGATTATTTAACTGAAACATATAAGATAAATACTACAAACATACAAAATGTTAATTATCAGCACATTCATATATCCTTCAGTCTTTTCGTTTACACATGGCATGCAAGAGTTGTATAATTTCAGGGGTGGGGGCATGAATCGTTGCTTGATATTTCAAGCAGAGGATTAAAATGCTTAACTATAATGCGATATCTTTGATGCCAAACTTAGGTCTAATTTTGATTTGGACAGCGATTTCACCCCCAGTCGACAAGATTCGAACATTCGAATCTCAGATTGTCTTTGAAAAATCTAAAATTAAAGCCACGACACTCTTAATTGCTCAAATTGCCATGAGTTAAAATCAACATTGTAAAATACTGCTGTTGACAAGCTTAAGTTATTTCCCTTCAAGCAGCAATTATTTTTAAATTAAGCTGTTTGTTGGCTCTTGGTGATTGTCACACTTAGCAGCTTCTCGATATGATTTCAAAAACACTTACTTAAACTTTAACTGGCCCCAATTAAATTGTTCAAACCTTGTGTGGCTTCCCTCAGATTCAATTCTGATTTGCAACTCCACAGACCACTTCCATAAACTTTTAATTCGACATCATTATGAGAAAAGTCACCCAAAATTGTTATTATATTCACGATTGTGACAGCAAAAGTTATCACATGTTTTCCTCGTCATATTTAATTTTTGTTTTTCGTTGCATATAATTTAAAGCTTATTTTGTTGATGATTCACTTAGTCATAATGATGAGATGAGAAAACAGATTATATTATTATGCCATGAAAAGATTTATGATTATCAAAATGACAAATGAGGAATTGATGAAGTTTTTCATCGTGTCTGCTTTTAGTGCAATTACGAATTTTGCTCATTTAGTGCACACATTTAGATAAAGTTTATTTTTTAAAAAAAAATCATTAATGCAACACTCATGTTAGTTGAATAACTCTAGTGAAACTCAAAGTCTAAGTTTGCAATTCATTTTGTCTCATAACGATTTGTTTTGTGCCGTTTACAAAAATATTTTTATTGTTTGTTCTGTTTTTAATAGAAATGCAAACATCAAAATATTGTGATGTCCTCGCATTAATTCACAAATACATTTTTTTGTTCGATTCACATACATCTGTGCCACATACATGATAATAATCCTTTTTGAAACTAATTCTATCTTTAATAAACTTTTTTTTTATGATTTTTTTCTTCTCCATTTTGTTTTTTTTTCTTCTTTTTTTTTACAAAAACAATCCGCAAAATTTTTTTGATGCGAAAAAAAATAAAAATAAAATTAAATCTCTTAAAACAATACAAAATTAAATTAGATTGAAAGCATCCAGCAGAACGTTGGAGCAACTAAGTCAAGCTCTAGTAGTACTAACATTAACTCTGCTCAAAATGTAACAGGAGTGAAATCCTTCATGCATGATAATCAGAAAACTCTTTTTGTAAATGCTTCTCCTAAAAGTAATATTACCGCAACTGCTACACCAACCGTTGTAAATCAAATTAAGACATCAACACCATTGCCTTATACAGCAAGTAATGTTGATGATTTTCTACAAAAGAATTTAATACAACAGAATCAAGATTTATCGCGTGAACGTATACTGTCAAGTAGTAGTGATGATAATTTTGATTATGAGCCATATTCTCGACGTGATTTTCGTATGGAACTAAAATCACCATCTGATAAAATGTCATCAAATGATACGCCAACATCTGGTTACTTTACATCACCAAATGAGAACGAAAAGTGGCCACAATCACAGAATATTACAAGTCCGGAGAGTAGTGACTATGAAAAGTTTGAACCGCAAAGGAGCCAGCAAGTCATTAATAAAATTCGAGAAGCATATTCATCATCTCCCGTCGAGTCCCAGAAGAGTACTTCGTCTCAAGCTCGTAAGTCTGTGAGTTTTGATTTGGATGTTGAAGAGTACACGCCTGCATATAATCAAGGTAATGATGAAGATGATGCCGACGAGGGAGGTAGGGGAACTGATGAGCTAAATTATGAGGATGTTTTCGATGAAAAATCTAGAATTCAACAGCAGCATCAACCAAAAAGGATTAAAGGCATCTTGAGATCTCCAAGTCCCAATGTCTATTATCAGACAGCTGTTACACAAAGTCAGGCAAAAGAGAATATTGAAGATGATGATGAGGATGTTGAAATTGAAAAAGAAAATCCCTTCAGAAAAGAATATCTATCAGAAGATGAGCTTAATGCTTCGTCGTCTGGTAATGATGAACCCACAGTTCCTATTCAACAAAATGTGACATCCGATTCCGAACATTCCGATAATCAAATAACGGATATAACTAAAAGTTTGGTGAATGTCTCGACCGAACGAACAATTTTTAAATCAACAGGAAGTTTAGTGACTGAAAAACCCAAAATTCCACCGCCTAGACCACCAAAACCCCAAGTCAAAGTGGCAGAAGTTGTAAAGAATGAGGGTTTGGTTAAAATGAGTCAACAAATGGTCGAGGATGATTTCTTGGAATTTGTTCATGATGTCCAAACAAATACCATTCAAGAAGTCATTAAAACTAATACAGAAGATTCATTTAGTCCGGATAGTCCATTACCGCCTTTACCAAAAGTTCCTCCACCTCCATTGAACACTTTACATCCATTCAAGCGTGCAAATAGTGCTGAAAGACCAAAAGATAGTCCACCTCCTCCTCCCACACCAAAAACACCCATTCCGACCATTTCAACTCCGATTACGACAATTGTGTCAAGGAACGAAACAGAAATAATTGAAATTTTACCAGCAAAATACGAAGTATTTCCACAGAAGCAAAAGCCAAACTTGGTATGTGAGAATAGTAGATCAAACGTATTAGTCAGTGAAGATGAACATCGAGAAATTCTTTTAGCAGAAAATGAAATTCGTAATGCTATGCTGTATGAGTATGTTGATGATAAAAATTCTTCTTGTAATTCTGAAATATTCATTCAAACTCCATTTTCTCCCACCAATCCTTTCCTGGATCATGGAACAATGACACCATCTGCATCAACATCGTCGTTCAGTTACCAAAGTTCACCAAGTATTTTATCACCCACATCGACTTTAGATAAGTCAACATCTAGCTTTAGTACGCAACAATATACACCGATATATAAGGATATTCAACGCGTATCACCAATTCTTCCACCGCCAACTCAAGTCTTACCCGTTCATTACGGTCAACTACCAAAGCCACAGCATACAGGCTATACATTAATACCTAATATTCATTATAATAATCCCCAAAATGTCCCATCAACAAGTATCATTTCCATTCCTCAAACATCCACAATTGTCTCACAACAATCACCATATGTTCATCATCAACAATACTTAGTTCAACAGTCTGAAGGAGCAACAACGTCAGCGGGTTATGGAATGTCAGAACAAAAAACCTTTTTGGTGAGTGGTGATGGACAAAATAATTTCTATATTACTCATAACCAAAATAGCCTTAATAACAATCATGTTAATAACCCAATTGCAAATAATCATCCAACATTATTAATGCAATCGGCTTATATGCCTTCACCATCACCACTATCGCCATTATCGATTCAAGCACAAACATCGTCAAGCAACCAATTTTTATCACAACAGCAGCAACAAATGCGTATGCAAAATATATCACAACAATCTATAATAAGTAGCACAACACTATCACATACCAATAACCAACCACATTATATTTATGAGCATGAGCAACAACAAATGTATTCTCAAGCAAACAATAATGCTAATCGGAATCGATTCATGCAACAGCCTGTTATTGTTGCAACTGATTCCATTTCAGAATTATCGCCGATAAGAGTAAATCCACAGAATTTTACTTTTGTTGCGGACGTACAAGAGCAATCGCAAAAGCCATCGATGAGCTCATTTGGAAAAAGCACCGAAGTTTAAATTTATTTTCCATTTCAGGAACGAATTTTGTAACGTTTACTAAAGGAATTGCCATTTTCGAAGTATTTTTTTTTGTAACTTAAAGTTTAATTGCTTTATTTCTAACATGCTTTAGTTTTATACTTACTAAGATTATATTTACTAATAAAAGTAGCTTTTTAGTTCTTAGATTAAGTTTAATATATGCATTATAATTTAGTTTAGATAATTTGTAGTTTTTTTTGGTATCACGTATTGGTTTAATTCATTTAATTATTATGAGTATTAATTAATTTTTAAAATTCTTATGCTTTAAATAAATTTAAAAATTGAAGATTAAAATCACATTTTCAATTAAGTTAAAATTACATTTAATATTGAGAATTTTAATTATATGTTTGTGACTGTATTTTTAAGGCAGAACATGGAACATCAAAAATTAATTAATTCTCTCACAAAACATCTACGTGACATCGAAATCAAATACTGAGAAACACTTCTTCTATCTCCTGCTAAAATAACTTTAATGATTCCATCCATGTCTCTGTATTTATCTTTTTATTCTTTTTCTAAGAGATAATTTTAATTGACTGCATTTTTGATACAGCAACGAGCTTCTTTTAAAGTGTTGACTTTTCCTGTTTAAATTTTTAATTTCATTTATTTTTTTTGTTTTACTTTTCTTCTATTTGAATCATGATAACGATAATTCAAACAACATATAAACAGTCCCCAACACCGCCATCATCAGCAAAATCTGAAACACCTAAAACGGTCTCGGATAAGAAGCGTTTCTTTGAACATGTAATGGAAGATCAACAAAAACCGACACCCAAATCAGGTAAAAAAAAAATTTAAGACAACATGAAAAATATTTTCCGCTCTTCCTTTTCGTCCTTTTTCTTCCGATTCTTTTTGGGATACGAGTAAAATTGGAAAGCTTTTAATGCCTTATAAACATTGTTGGCACTTTTGGTGTCGTTCTGCTAAGGAGATTTTCGGCCGAATTCTTTTCTCGCTTGAACATTATTTAAAATTCATCCCATAGGATGGTGATGATGATATTGCTGTTATAGATATCTACTTACCTATCTACCTATTGTTCGTGGATGTTTGAGACTATTATGGTTTTAAATGTGTGACAATAGGCTGGATTATGATTTGTATGTAAAGAGTTTGAAGAGAACTTTGAGATTTTTCAATTCAAAGCTTAATAGCCTTAATTTTAAATAATTTATGAATTCTTGATTTACAGAAAAAAATTTGAGAATCACAAAAAAAATTAGATAACTTTGTGAACCAGATATCCATTGGCGCACAACATATAAATCTCTCATTTCCGTAAAATAAAAATTATTTTTCTTCTGGCTGTTGCTTTCACTTTGCATTCTTCTTATTTTCCCAATGCTAATTTATGGTGACAGAGGAATCTCTTCACACTGATGCTCCTCTGTTATACCATATTATGTTTACAGTTGCTGTATGTTTACAGTTCGCTATTCATCGTTATCATTCTGATAGAATTTTCAAGATTTTTATTCCTTCATTTCTTATCTCGGTTTTAGCATCGCAACTGGATAGTAGCGTAGCATGTTAAAGATAAAAGGGGAGCTGCTGGAAAAAACATTCAATCTAATATTACATCACGTTTAACGTTGAGTAAATATTTAAGAAATTTCACTACAACTTAGTCATAATCGAAAGTGATATGATTTTAATGTAAATATTTGCTATTGAATGTGGATGAAAAGCTCTTTTGATTGAAGCAGGAACTTTGTAAATTTATTCATCGATAGAATAACCTTAAGTGGATTTTCACATACTTTGGAAATAGCTTTTATGGTAAACAAGAATCTTGAAAATATCATAAAAAGTTCATCACAAAAAGAGATTTTTTTCAACAGCTTTTTAAGCCACAAAACTTTCGTTTACAGCTTTTGAATAATTTTTTCATTTTTCATGGACGCTATAAAAATCATCAGCAAATTTTTTATACATCATAAATTACCCAGTTAAGGTTTAATTGGCAGTTTTATGTTGGACAATTAAGCAATTAATTCGTTTTGAATCGCTTAATGAGCTTTTCAGGGATTTTAATTAATAAAACCATAGAAATTGAATGTTGCATGAGAGATTTATGGATGTGGTTGGCATTGTTCAAGAACACTTGAGTCTATTTGAGTTATGTTATAAGCACGACTTATAGCACCGTCTAATCCCTTCAATTGATAGAATTATACGATGTATCAATAGCATAATCTGATTTCATGAATGAGATTGTGGTGTGTAGATAGGATATTTTACAGTGTCAACAATTGTGTGACTTCCTGTAATGTTCCTTTGGGTTTCTCGATATTGTAACAATTTATAGGTTATGAGAGCCAATGGGCTCGTTCTGAAGTTTTATGTTAATCAATAAGTTGTTTGGATAATAGATTTTTGAGAGAATATAAGATGGAAGCCTAGAAACCTTGTTTCATATACTTGCATGTTATGAGCTTACATGCTCCGAATTTAAGTCCAGGACTTCATATCAAAATTTCATAATTCTTGCCTAAACAAGACTATTTTTAGAACCTTAAACAGCTAACCTTGAATATATCATTAAAAATCAGTTTATAAAGCTTATTTCAGGCTGAACAACTCTCAATCTCAATTCCATAAAATTTCATCAGCATCACAAAATCCACAAATAATACACCAGATTCTTTTCAGCTTATTAAGCAATCCCAAATTTGGATTACCTCTCGAAAGCCACTAAAGGTCTTCATACCCAATCTCATGTATTATTTGTAATCTAATCTTTAAATCCATCCCATCTGATAAACAACTGTTGATGCTAATCCCTCAAAAGAGCCAAAAAAAAAAATTCTTTTTGTTATCCAATTCGAAAGGAAATCATACATAAAAATAGCTTGCGGTTGACGATAAGAAATTTAAGAATATTGATTTGTTTTTCCTTTCATTCTTTTTACATTCGAATGGCTGATAAAAAATTCATACCCATAGAAGAAATAAAGCAGCATGCTTATTGATGATAAAATATTCATATGAGAATTTAAGCATGATGCTCGTTCAAGCTGAGCATACATTCGTTGGTAAAAGCGAAAAAAAAAATTATTCGAAATTGAAATAATAAGATAAAAGAGGAACGAAAAGTTCTTTATATTTTGATATTCACCAACATCAAAATGATGATGAAAACTTTTTTTTTTGTTTCCATTCATTGAAATGATTGAATAACGATGATTTTTATTATGACGGAGGAAAAGAATGAAAAATTTTCAATTTTCCATCGCCCTCATCGCTCATAAAATATTTATGCAAGCAAGAAAATTCTCTTTTTCGTTCATCTTCTTCGAGCTTATGCTCGTTTCCTATAATCGAAAGCATAAAGAAATTTCATATTGCTGGAGCTTTTCTTCATTCTCTCGAGAGGAATATCCTCGTTATTATTTTCATTGCTGTATTTTTTATCTATCAATCTATTCATTGGTGCACATTGTACTGACGATAGTTTAACACTTTCTTATAGCAGGAAGTAATAAATTTTTCAATCCTTGAAGCAGATTTTAATTTGCGACATCGACGTGCAAATGTTCTGTTAAAGCAACGATAGTCGCTTGCAGTGGGAAATCCTTGAATTATTAAAGAAATGAGAGACACTTTAAATGGATTTTAATGATGCTCTGATTAATGCAAATATCATCTTGTTCGCTATCCTACACCTCGCTTCCGCTTTCCTTTATATCCCAATAATTCTCTCTATTGAAGCTGTGAATAATTGAATTTTTTCCGATTTCTTCTTCTCTTTCATATTCTGGAATATAGACAAGTCTTTCTCATTCCTATCCGAAGATGAAATTCAAAAGCTAAGGCAAGAGAATGAGAAAAAGATTGCAACAATCACACGCGAAACGAAGAAGAAAATTGCATCTGCAACAGCAACCGATAATATCAATAATAATGATGAATTTGATGTTAATGAAGACGATGAGGAATTTTATCGCAATAAAAATCTTATCATTAGTCAACACGTGATGGACGATGAGGAGGATGAGGATGCAACAACGAGGTGAGTTGATCGAAAGATATTTTTAATCAATAATTGAATTTCCGAGTTGGTTTGGATTTTTGAGGCTGATTTTGACTTTTATAAATTTAGAATGTAGAACTAGAATCATTAAATAATCGAAAACCCAAAAAATCAGTCACTACTGACAAAAATCCAACCAACGATTCCATATCATCCCCTAAAATTAGATTTAAGTTATTTTGCTGCCTGTTTATAAAATTTAAAAATTTGATTTATCAAGAGGTAAATACGCAAAAAAGAAATGCCTTAAAAAAATCCTTCAAATTGATTTTGAATGTCATTTGATACCCGAAAAAAAATAAATTGTATTTTTGATTGATTAAGATTAAATTGCATGGTTGTTATAGTGACTTGTTGTACTCACAAAATCCTCCTTAAAGGCATGAAACCTTGAAAAGAATGTAAACCTCGTGTAGCTGCCTTGTATTAAATTTCTAAATTTTTTCACTTCCAAATACCTCATGAATAATATAAAAGTTAAGCAAAATTTATTTAAACATTCCTTGATTATGTATATCAAAATTTCACTTTAAGTTTTGGAATTACTTTCTTCAAAAGGAAAAAATCTAACTCATAATAAGCTCGGAAAAATATAATATTTTCTCTCACAACTGCCAACTAATGATGAAATGAAAGATAAAAAAAAAATCTTTTTTCCTTTCTCATTTCCTCTCTCCCTTTGCTCGCATTTTTATAAGTAAAAACCATTATCATTACTATCATCGTTCACCTTCATCTTATAAATATTCTTATTCTTTCTGTCGGAAAAGCTGAATAAAAATAAGAAAAAAAGATTTCAACTTACTTATTACAATTTTTACAATTTTTTTTTTATTTGTTGTGTGTTGAGAGCGAGCCTTAATACAATATAAAATATTCCCAACGTCTTTCAACTACGAGTAAAAAGAATTTATACAACTTACATTCTGTATACAGTATTATGACATGATGTCTGGGACAGTAGCATCCTTCATTCTTTTTTACGAAGCATCCTTTTATTTCTTTTTTTCCTTCTTTCCTTCCTGTATCAAAAAAAAATGTAACTGAGAGAATTGCGATGGGTATTGAAGCATCGTGGGAACTTGAGCGCATTACTTAAGCAGTGGATGCTTTGATTTGGTAAATATCGGATGTGTTTTAAGTATATTGAGTCATTACTTTACTGTTCTAGCTCTGATGTCTTTTATAATTCCCACGCTCCCTTTCTGGATAATTCTTTAACTAAGATATGAAGCTTGAAATGTGTTTAGACACAACAAGCAACGTAAAAGTACATATAGTGCTGTCTGGCTGGCTAGAACTCTTTTACAAGCCATTAATGAATTTTTAAGAATTGAGCCCAAGTCTGCAGCATATGAACCAGTAACTTAACAACAGAAATTTTGTTTGACTTCAATTGGCTATGATCCTCTTGACTAATCCTGAACATTAAAGTATTGCTAAGTGCTGACTCTATTGCTGTGTCTAAATTACAACATGAGTCTTAACTAGAACAGTCCCATTCTACAAATACAGCCTGACAAACCAACACATTCCATACAAAGCTCATTCACCAACATGCCCTGCTATGTGAACAGAGAAAGAAATCTCGTTTTTTTATTGCTGAAGCATTTGTTATTTACCATTTATATTACATTTTTTTTTGCTTTCCATCTACCTCCCAACTGAAGGTAGTGAAAAGCATCCGAGCAATGGCAACAGAAGCGAGAGATGAAAATCAATAAAAACATGCTTAAAGCTTAATAGAAAAAAAAAAATATATTTTCGAATAGTAAAATCGCCATTTCGTAATGTCATTGAATGTAGAATAAAATAGCAAGTTTTAACAAATTTTCACGAGCCATAATCAAGATTTTATTTTTTGTGAATTTCATTGCTCTAGTCAACAGTTCAATTTTCATTTAAATCTCAATATATGGATGTAACAGAGGAATAGAGAGAAAATTTTCTATTAAGCTATTTTATCTTCATACACAAATCAATTGATTTCCATTTAAATTGAATATCATCCATTGAGAGTGCAAAGAAGTATTGTTTTTGTGTGTGTGTGTGTATGGATGAGAAGAGGATTGTGATGATGACACAGATTGTATAGTCGATCTGACTATATCAATGACACAAACGATATTAGGGAGAGTAAAATATTTATGAACTAAAGGACCATCAATGGCAATAGAAGAAAGAAAAATATCATTTATGCAAATTTATTAGGCAATTTTAGGAACTACGGAATGAACATCATCATTTTCATTATCATATAAATGCATGTGAAGTGGAAGTGCCGTTGTATGATTTAAATATCTATCTACTGCTGTGTCTGCTTATAGGAAATAGGCAAAGGGTGAAAATGACTCTCATTCTCATCCTATCGAAAGCCTAAAAGATAAAGTTGTAGTAAAACTTTTCATCATATGAATCCTCAAACCATAATGTTTTGATAAATATACATCCTTGCCGTTTTATGTATTGCCTCGGTTGCACATACAAATTGTGTGGTTTTAAAATATTAATTTTATAGATGCAAGTGCTATCACAGCATCTTGCGGTCAAGGAAACTTAATTTATCGAGGAGAAAATGCAAATTTTCAAACTTTATTTTTCTATTTCCACTTTTATCCACCTACAACTAAATCAGATGAAAATTTATTCACAACATTTTAAATTCAGAAAATAGCTTAACAACAATTTTCAGTTTTGGAAGAGAAAAAACACAAAATTGCAGAAAAATTTTGAATTCATTTAAATTTTTTATAAGTTTGAGGAAATTTTCAATGAATTCTAAATATTAATGGGAAATTCGGAAATAATTTGAATACACTGGATGGCTTTAACGCATGTTTAGTTGCTGTTAAGGATTTTTAAAGTTTGAGATTCGTAGTTTTCGGAGAAAATTGATATTTGATGGATAAATGCTTTAAGTCTGTCTATGTAATCAAATTTCCATTAAACTTAGTGATTTCTTCGTGTAGCAATGACTATAGTTAAGAAGAGATTGGAGTTTCTATTAGAATCGACTTCGAGCTCAGAAGCTTCAGGTTCGAATCTTTAAAATCTATTCAACATAAAAACAACTAAGACAGCCTTAGACAAAAATTAAGAACTCATCAAAACTTATACACAAATACCCAAACTCTCAAAATTCTAAAATCCGTATCCACATCCTTTTCATCACAGAATACCACTTGACTAAAATTTATGCATCGATAATTAATTTGTAAATTTCAAGAGCAACCAAGCTGCTGTTATTCAATTAACTGTATAATGATATTTTGAAAACATTTGTGAATTTCTCAGGAAATTAAATCTATTTGAATAAACCCAAAGTCCCTGATATCATCAATAAAAACTCCCAACCCATCATGTCTACATTTGAGGAAACACTTTCTTTGGTTTTTACAAATCACTGATTTTAATCAATGAAGTAAGCAGCTATGTCAACATTAATTAATGAGTGATATAGTAAAATGTTCTTTTACGCCCACATAATCAACACCTCTGTAATTTATGAGACATAATAATAATAATTTTATGTGAACATCCGTCCCCATATGTGTGTCTGTTTCTGTGAATGTGTAAGAAAATGTAATTGGATGCCATACATTTAATGATCATAAAACCATAAATCCTTAATAAGATTATAAATTAAGGAGATGGAAAAGAAAATATGTTGTGTGATTTATGCTGTTTAATTAAACATTTAAGCAGTCATCATCGTCATTATCAGTTTTGTGTATATGTAGACTAGATGTAGCTAATATAGATGGAGTGAATTCATTAATTAGTTGACCACCTTCACTATTACTAATTTTAATTAAAGGATTTATGAGTTTGTTGTTGCCTTACATAACATTCATCCTATCCTTCCTCTACTAATTTGCCCTAATTTTATTTACTTAAATAATTTTGATCTTTTCACCTTAATTTTATTCTTTTTCTTTCTTTCTCTCTCTCTTTCTATGTAATTTTTGTATGATTTTATCGTTCATTCAACAGAAATCCTCTGAAGGCACTGGAAGCAGTATTTCGCAGCTAAAAGTATTTTTTAATGTTAATTGATTAATTTAATTTAATTATGCCAGACACAAAAATCTATTTTTTTTTTATTTTATTCATCTTAATTTAATTTACTTGTTTATATCATCAAAAGCATACATACAATATTGTGTAGTCGGAAGATGGAAAGCTTTGCTATTAAGGTCATTTTTGTTATTTTTTTTTTATTCTCTCGCTTTCATGAATATGGCAATTAAAATAATGTCAGTATCATGACAATAATGGGAATGTAGGATAATTTAGATGAAAATAATAGAATTAAATTGGTTTCTAGCTAATACCCACATAAATTTCATCTTACATTATTTATTGAATAATTGATTTGAATGGGGGATGTTGGAAATAGAAGCATCAACAGCTGGCAGCTAAGGAAGGATGAAAAGCTCGCGTGTTGTAATGATTGTTGCTTCTTAACTCCGTTTGGGTTGCTTTTATGGATCATGAAGCTTTATGTAGTTTATGTCAGTCCCGTCCGTTTTTAAAGCTACAGTTTAATTGTAAGATAATAATCTTATTAAATTTAAAAATTTAATTCTTTAGGGGATCTTAATTTTTCTTATAGATTTTAAATTTATTGAGGTTCCAAAGTTTTTTTGCTTGCACAATTTTCACTTCTAAAAGAGAGTCGGGCTACATTTATGATTTTTGATAATATTAAATTTGACAATTTTACAATCAATTTTTTAAAAATTCAGCTCATTTAAACCTTATTTTTATGATAAAATGATTTTCTTCTACGCGTAGTTAAACATCTCTTAAATGTTATCCCAATAAATCTTACTAAAGCTTTTATGACCTTAATAGTAAAGCTCTTGTAGAAAATTAAATTTTCTTTTTTTCGCAAATTTATTTTTCACTCTAATTGAATATTTCTTTCCACTCACACTGTAAACTATTTGAAACAAAAAACAAATGTTGATGTATTAAATTTGACTTTTATTTTTTCTGAATTTATTATTTAAAAATTCTTTACTTTTTATGTAGTAATTGATGTTAAGTCACACTCTTTCTATCACACGTTTTATTTTTTCATTGTTAATTATTTTAGATTGTACATTAAGGAATAATTTATGTGTAAACTTAACAAATAAATTAATGACGAACTCAATAAAAATATTAAATGAAACGAACTTATTAATTTGCTTTTAATTTAATTTTTTGTTGTAAATGACTAGGGTTTCTGAAGCCGTTAACGGAAACGGAAAAACAGCCGTTTTTCAGAGAAAAATAAAAACGGAAAACGGCTGTTTTTTTCTAGCCGTTTTTCCGTTTTTCGTGTTTAGCTCGTGAAAATTTAAGGTTCGGAATAAAGTAATATTAACTCCAATAATTCTTTCAAACTCATTAAATTTAAGTTGTTAAGTTTTGTAACGACCACTTGATGTTTAAATATTTTTAAAGTTTGAATTATCCTGTTTTTTTATGTTATAAGCTAGCTTATAGCTTAGAAGAATAAAAAAGTGATTTTTTTGGCTCACTAGTAGCTTGGTAACGAGTAGTAGCTTAGTAAAGAAATTGAACTTATATGAAATTTTTTGAATTTTTTAGCTTAATTAAAGAAATTTTGCTATCTCTGCTATCTTCTCGATTTTATTTCATTGACAATGTCATTAGGCATTGAAACTGATGCTTAGAAAGTTGAAAACGATTAATTAAACTTTATTTTTGGGAGTAGCTTAGTAAAGATTACACAAATTTTTTGAATTCAAAAAAACTTTACTAAACTAGTTGCTTAGTAACGAATAGAAGCTTATAACGAGAAAACAGGATGTGAATAAAAGTTTTTTTAAACACAATACACTGTAATAAGTTCTTTTTTTGACAACAATTTCAGTATGTGACTAAAACCGTGCATAAAACACAATTTCGGTAGAATTAAAAAAAACGGACCCGTTAACGGCCGTTTTTTGGAAAAAAACGGATACGGCCGTTTTTTAAAAATGCCGTTTTTCAGAAACCCTATAAATGACTTTTTGATTTTAAAGTTTTTTAAGTAATTGGGGATAAAATTTACATTTTCTGAGAAATTTTATTGTTAATTAAAGGTTATTTCTTTTTAACAATTGTAAAGAATTTTTGATGATTTTTATAATCTTACTTCTAGATTCACTCTCAGCTCTTAATCCGCTTAATAAAATTTCAACATATTTCATGGTGCCAATTTTCTACAACGTGATTATGCAAATCAAACCAAAACTTCTTCTTCCTCTAATGAGACATAAAGTAACGACACAAATTGAATAAGTAAATCAGAAAATAAATTTCCAACGAAAATCTAGCAGCTATATAAATTAGAATTCTTCCCATTTCGCTAATTAAAACTGCTTTATGCAATAGTAATTATGTTGATTAAAGTATAATGGCATAAAAATAGTGTAGTTTATCAACAAATCACGTTTTGGCATCATGAAATATACATAAAAATAATTGCTATGCACAGAAAATGTTTAGGATGTATATACCAAAAATAAGAATGTAAGAGAAGTTATGCTCCAAATGAAACAAAAACAACATTATAGAAAAAAAATGTTTTTTTTAATTTTTATCCCGTTGTTTTCACAAACAAGACGAGCAGTTGGTAAACTTTATGCTTTTGTTGAGGGTTGAAACTTTCCTATTTTCACAGAAAAAATATGTAAAAAAAAGTTGTGTAGCTTCTTACGCTTGGAAAACAATTATAAATGCTCATCTTTCTGTATCATGATGTTGTAAGTTAGTCTCATCCATTTCTTTCCCTTAAACGTAATTTATTATTCAACTGCTACTACTCATCATGCTTCCTCCTTACTCTCTTTCTGCTTTTATTGTAAATAGTTGAAAATTTAGTTTTTAAAAATGAACAATGTAGATTTTTTTTAGTAGTTTCTCATTATTATGTTACAAAATTCATCATTTAAAGCAGTTTCTGTTTTAATAAAAATCTGCTTTAAATAACAAATTCTTTATTATTTATTATATCATTTTCTAAATTTTCTTGTGAGTTGGTTGAAGATTTCGCTTTTCATACTCTCACTTCCTCCTTCTATAGTCGGTCGGGTGTTGTTTTCATTTAAAAAAAATTGCTAGTTTTTATCTCTTTATATTCTTAATAAATGTTGAGAATTTATTTGCTTTTTGTGGGAATGCATTTTAAACAATATTGTTTGAAACCTTTTCTTTGGAAGTAGTACATACAAAAGTGGGTCATGGATGAATACAATTTTAAAATATTTATGATTTTCCAAGAAAGTGATGAACATTGAAGAAAGGGTTTAACATTAGAGTTCAGCGTTAGTTCATAAACGAGTCACAAAGTTTGAGAGTCGGCGGAGAATTCCTTAAAATTCTGAAGAAGTTTGTAAAATTTTATTTTAAAATATTGAGTCTCAGATTCCGATAACTCTAAAACTTATCAAACTATCAGTTTCTTGGAACAAAGTTCAAATAAATAATCTCATTGTATTTAAAATTGAAATTTGGCTGATATGTCAACTGCTTTGGGGTCTTCTCTCCCTTATCTATCTTAAATTTACAAAGAATATTAAACAGCACCAATTTAACAGACATAAGAGCGAATCTTGAGCCAATACCTGCCAAAAAAGTTAAAATTAGCTTCAAATTCAAAGAACTTTAAGTTTATGCTTACAAATTCTTGCTCCCATTCCAAATGGCAGAAAAGTTCCAGGAACAATTGAGCTTTCATCACTAAAGCGATGTGGATTGAATGTTTCTGGATCAGTATAGTATTCTGGATCATGCTGAATTTGATAAATTGGAATTCCAATAGTTTTTCCTTTAGGAATGACTACAGTTCGTCCATTTCCCAAATCAATTTCATAATCTTTGTTGCACATTCGATCTGTTAGCCCAGCTGGTGGTCTTAATCTCAATGATTCCGAAACAACCATGTCTAAGAATTTCATTTTGTGTAATGCTTCATATGTTATTAGATTGTCACTGAATTTTGCACGTGTATTGTCAACCTCTGCGATTAGATCTTCTTGAATGTCAAGATTGATAGCTAAATCATAGCATATACTTTGCAGTAACATAGTGCTCGTGTCAAATCCTGCACCGAAAAACAGAAATCCTTGTGCAATCCAATCCATATCTTCAAAATATGACATTTTCTCATTTTTCAAGCTAACATCCAGTTCTGTATGGGCTGAAAAGTTCGACAATTCTTTATCAACATCAGCATCATCTATTTTATGTTCAAGTTGTCCTTTGCGTGCTTGCAACAATAATTGAATAACATCTGGACGTGAAATATTGTACCTATCACGTTCATTCATGACATCGAGCACGACTCGTTTGAAAAATTCATTCACCTCCTTTCCAACTAGTTGAATATTAAAGAATTTATAAATCTTTGGGAAGCCACTAGCAAGCATGAATTTTAGTGCACCTAAAGTTCCATTAAAATCGTTGTCAAGTTGTTGTACCATACGACATGTCTGACTATTTTTATCCCTTATACTGTTGCCAACAAAGCCGAGTGCAGCAGTTGAAATCCCATCTGCTGTATATCGCTTGAAAATGTCACCGACATCAACATTGATATTATTACCCACCTCAACTTGCTCTTCCATAAATTTTGTAAAGTCTCTTGAGTGATCGGATAAAAGACCGAACATTAATTTCATCTTTGAACTTGTAAAAATTGGACTCAAGGTCGTTCTCATATCTCGCCACTTTTTATCTCTCATTCCGAACAATGACCTTGTGAGTAAATCATCCATTTCTATTGAATCATCGTGGTTAATAAAATGATTAAAATCTTTGACTGTGATCTTTTTAATTAACTCTAGATCAGTCACTATGAACATTTTGGACATGAAATTGAAATATCCATAAATTTTTGATGATTTGAACTTCTTATAGCTCTTGTCTGTGATGTCATTAATTGATCCTTTTTGTAATAAAATATTTAAATTATTTCCAACAACAGGCCATGGCTTCTCGTAAGGAATTCCAAGTTTATCATAATAATCAGCGTCACTTGTAAGCCACTTGTAAATCACAAATATTAAAATCAATAAGAACCAAAATATCATTTTGTGTGCTTTTATATTTATTATATATCACATTCGGAGGCAGAATCAAGACTGAATTAGGAATTCGTATAAATTTTGATATGAATACATATTTTTATATTGATACTACTGTATTTGTTGCTTTGATACATCACACGAGTTTCATTTGACTGTATAAATAAATGAAATCATTCTTGTTTCAACGCACACAATTTAAAGCTGATTGGCAGAAATAGAAAACAAAACAAAAAAGCTTCTTTTTATTCATATTATATTTGTTCAATTTTGCTTATCACAGCCCATATTTGGAATCCTTTCTTCTTTTTCTTATCAATTTAATTTATTTTTAATTTTGTTTATTTACTTTCATTAAATTATGAAATTCTCAGAACTTCTAGTTGGGGAAGTTCGCTTGTTCCGCTGTTTTCGATTCACTTGTCCATCACTGCTTACTCTTAGATTTAAAACATCTTATGGTTTTAATGGGATTTCTTGTGAGCTTCCAGGGGCGTAGCCAGGGGTGGGGGCCATAGGGGGCCCGGGCCCCCCTACGAAAATCTGATAATTGTTTTATTAAGTATTTATAGAGAAGAACCAGTTAATGTAGAGGAAGTGATGAAAGAAATGTCAAAATCAGCACGAAAAATTAAATTTAATGTATGAATAATGAATTAAATATTTAAACTTATGAAGAATGAATATAGATTTAAGGATACAAAATAACGGTTTTTTAATTTTCGAAAATGGGCCCCCCCTTAAAAATTTTCTGGCTACGCCCCTGTGAGCTTCTCTTTTAATTGCAAAGTTAACGCACATCATGATGCATCATGCAAACAGCAAACCACAATCTGATTATATATAGTTATCAATTATGGTCTTCCTATTTATATCGTTCTTGTTATTATATCTTTGGTTCGATTGTACATTTGGTGGTCAATTGAATTATTAAGATACAATTTTGATTTTATTCAATTCTTACTGTCTACATTTCCACAAGCTTCTTCGGTAAGCTTAAAAACCAAAATTTATTACTATGAGCTCCATGATGCTCAAATCGTTCTAAAGCTAATCCAAATCCCTTTAGAGCATCAAAAGCTTTTTATGTCACAATCGGACCAACAATGCTTGATTATTGTCTTTATAAAATGGACATATAAAAAGATTCATTTGGATTGTTCGTGACGGTTGATGAGCTATAAAGGAAATCTGAATAGACAAAAGAATGAAAAAATATATTTCAATTTATTCACAACAACCCTTCATCATCATTGGAGCTTTTACTGCACTCGCCTGTTGTTTTCCTTCTTTTGTCTGTCATCTTTATCTCTTCAAGTGCACAATGGCTTCAAATCTTTTTCTTTTTATATGTGAATGAATTGCTGAGTAAAAGCTTCTGTTTTCTTTCTTGAAATTGTCTGAAGCATAAATCCCACATTCCTACATCATTTACAGAAAATTTCCTTCCTTCTTTCATCTCATCTACATAAATTTTAATACTCTTAAACAATTTACGAATCAGAAGCATATTTTATCATCAAAAAATGAGAAAAATATTTTTAAAGAATATGAAAATCGATTTTCGTGACTGAACCATTCTATTGTTGCTTTTTGCTTATTGCCATTGTTGAGTAGTAAATTTTAAAATCTTATTTGATGACACAAAGGAAAAGCTTCTTTCTTGTTGGTTCTTATTTATTTTATTTTAAAGCCACAGAACAATCAACAAAGTCATATGATATTATGAGAAATGCAAGTTATGGTCGATGGAAGTGTACGACTTGGTAAATAAAGTTATTGACAATTTTCTTCAGAGGAGAAGCTTTGTGATATTGAATTGCAGTGTCCTTCGTATTATCTCTCTTTCAAGTGTTTTAAATTGAGAGCACTTCCATTATAGTTATTTCTTGTACTTGAAAAATAATCCGATATGAAGACTAGAGCTATATTAATGGATTTTAGGGAAAATTTAAAGTTTTCCACTTAATCTTTATTGATTTTTAATGATCATCTAAACATGTTGTGGAGTTATCCATGATTTCATGGCTTCATCCTCAAATTGACATCTACTTTTCTTTATGCCTTGATATTCATGGAGATTATGGATGATTTTATTTGATTTTATACCAAACTTTTGTCACAGTGACATGAAATTCAGTAAAGAATCCGATAAAGTTCCAAATTGAGGCTTAATTGAGGTTGTTCGGGGGACTCCACTGCCAAGCAAGGGTGCGCAACTGAAGAATTACATTTTGATAATTTTTGATCAATTATGATAATTTCATCAGTACCACACCCTTGGTGCTAAGTAAGCATATCTACAAGTGCTTTAAAGTTTCAACTATTTTCAAGCATCATATATATATATTGTATAATTTATATTTGTCACATCGTAAACTCAAAGAGGACTCTAATTCCAAGAATTATAATTATTCATCTTGTTAATAAACATAAATCTCCGAAAATGTTTGACATTCCAAAAATAAATTATCATCTCTTATTTCCATCCATAACAATAAGCTATAAACTCAAGTTTAATTATAGCACAGCTAATATTCAATGAAACAAGAATCAAGTAACGAGAGTTTCGCAAAAATTTAGAGCAATTAATATAACTCCCCAATGAGTGCGGATGAGAACTAATTTTCGATATCGAAGGATCTAATTTTCGAGCGCGGGAAAAAAAAATTGAATTTGAAATTTCCGTTACAATTATTTGTTTACATTTTGCATTTAAATTACTTCTTGAAAAAAGAATCTTCATGCGAACTTTCAGTAGAAGTTCAATGTTTTTTAATGTGTCTAGAATTCATTTATAGGCTATTAAATTGTCTTATTTCATGTTCTGATCCTTCATTTAATCAACAATTTATTGATACAGTAATTGCCCAAGTTGAAGTAGTTTTTGAACATTGTGAAGAAACGATTGATAAACTATCAAAAGCTTTTGTTAAATTTAGAGCAAACTTTCAGTATCCGTGTTAATTAATACATAAAAGAAACAATTTTGCATCAAAAAACAATTGAAATAAATTTGTTTCTTAATTAAGTCGTTAACGTATTTTTATTTTTCAAAATTTCATATTTTCGAATTTTTTCGAATTTTTTTTTGAATTTTTTCGAAATTAACCAAAATTAACTGACATTTTCTTTGTTCGCACTCATTGGATAACTCCCAATAAATACCAGCACGACCTTCAATAATTCACTGATATCTGAGCCTAAGGCAATAAACGTTTTTTCTAGTCTTTAGTCTTTCTTTTAAATTACATAGGAAATATCTTCAAGAAGAGAACAATTCATGCTTAATATGACCGAAACTTGAGATGAAAAACTTTTCACTTTATTTTTATTTCATTTGTTTTTGGTTCGTGAATTGAATTTTGTTTCTTGTTGGAGATAACATGTTCTTGCTTTCCACAATGAATCTTTGTATGTTGTTATGTCTGAAAAACAGGAGAAAATTGAAATCTTATTTAATTAAATCTTTCGAGTGAGAACTTCTTGTACAGAACAACAGAACTAAGTAATTTCAATTACTCGTGAGATTTGCCATTGGCAAATAATACAGCAACATGAAAATGTACAGGAACACTAAGTTCATATGTAATTTCTGTGTCATGCTACTATGTTTACGTGAAAATTCAGTCATGGCTTAAAGTAAAAGCTTCATCGCCACTAAAAGGAAGTTTTATATATTGTGTACATTTCATATCACAAGCTTTAATGCTATACAAGCATCAGGTGTTTGTATCGAGAAATAATTTTGAAGCTAAACATGAAAACGAAGATAAATGCCCTAAAAGTCAGTATGATGTGGATACACAAGGTGTCTGTTTGAGAATTTGTCGTAAATATTGGAAGTTTGACATGGATTATGAACATGCAAGCTGTATATGAATTCTTTTGGGTAAAAGTTGAGACAATTTGACTTTTAAGTCACATTATTAAAGACTAAATTGAAGTGTAGCCAGGAAGTCAGTGAATTAATTGGATCTTTTGACGAATTAAATAAATTCTCCAACCTTACTAAATTGCATTAAGTTACAACAAAAGCTCTTTTCCAATCAACTCCTTTAAAATTAAAATCCTACATAGTATGTTCATTTTTGTAAGCTATAGCAAGCCCTGAAGTCTCATTATACACACTTCAAAATAGGCTAGAGCACTCCTTACATAAGGGCAATTCTTTGGATGAGTGGAATTTGAAAAAAATGAGCTTTCATAATCCAATGTCAATGAGTTTTGTGTCAATAAAATGTTTTCTTTAATTTCATATTACTGTGAAGGAATAATAAGCCAGAACTTTCGTAGATCATAAAGCATAATTAATTCTTTACAAGTGATCTATTGAAATGTTACAACTCACCCAAATTAAGTGAAAAATTGAAAAAATATGTTTGAAAATTTTGTATTTTTTCACGGATTAAGACAAAAAAAAGCTTTTTTATAACTCGATGACACAAGGAAATTTTTCAAAGAATTGAATTATTTCAATAATTAATGACTTAAAGCACACAGAGAAGCAACCTAATTAAAGATTTTTGTCTGTTCCATAACTCAGTAAAATTATTTAATGTGGATATCAATAGTTTTCTCTAATTTTCGATTCTTCGGATGATGAAAATTAAAAATTCCGATTTCTGTCATCGAGTTATTGACTAAAGAATCCAAATAACTTAATTAATACAGCGATTAGAAGTATATGATATCAAAAGAAGTGTACATTTTAGATTTTTACATAGATAAGAATCATAAAATCGGTGTCTCTGATGGGAAAAATCAATAAAATTTCGATTTTTCGCTGAAAATTTTCCAAAAGTCATCCAAAGAATTGCCCATAAGGGCAATTCTTTGGATGAGTGGAATTTGAAAAAAATGAGCTTTCATAATCCAATGTCAATGAGTTTTGTGTCAATAAAATGTTTTCTTTAATTTCATATTACTGTGAAGGAATAATAAGCCAGAACTTTCGTAGATCATAAAGCATAATTAATTCTTTACAAGTGATCTATTGAAATGTTACAACTCACCCAAATTAAGTGAAAAATTGAAAAAATATGTT